TGGAATTCCTGGGTCAAATGGTATTTCTATTTTTAGTTTTTTGAGGAACCTCCATACTGCTTTCCACAATGGTGGAACTAATTTACATTCCCACCAGCAGTGTAGGAGGATTCCCCTTTCTCCACATCCTCACCAGCATTTGTTGTTGTTTGTCTTTTGGATGTTGGCCATTCTAAGTGGTGTGAGGTGATATCTCATTGTGGTTTTAATTTGCATTTCTCTGTAGATCATGAATTTTTGTAAATAAGTTAGTAAAGACTAGAATGGAGTCAATCCCAGGTAATGGGAGGGTGTTAGATATTTGGTGGTTTTATTTTCCCTTATGACTGGCTTAGAGCTGAACTGCTCATGTCTGTGTGTGTATATAATGCTGTCTCTCTCTGTATATACTAAAATGCTCTAATGAAAAGCGTATTCATCCTTAGAATGACTTTTAACATCTTTGTCTCTAGGATCAGAGGTGGTAGATTTTGATGGAAGAAGTTCCCTTCTCTACAGATTTGATAAAAAATCCCTGAGCCCAATAAAAGATACTATTTCTTTGAAATTCAAAACTCTGCAGAGTGATGGGATTATACTCCATGGGGAAGGGCAAAATGGAGATCACATTACACTGGAATTAAGAAGAGGAAAACTTTTTTTACTTATTAATTCAGGTAAACTAACTGATGAAGTGCTTGAAAATCTGATCATTTAGATATTACTTCAGTGACTGCATTCTTTTATAGCTTATTTTATAATAATTAAAGGGACTTATTTCCAGATTGAAGGGCTTATATGTATATGCCAATATTGCACTTTTATGTAAAAATGGTTCCTATTTTGCAAATTGTACAGGACCCTCATTTGATGTGTTTTACACAGTGCCAATCGAACTACACTGCTATTTTCAAGCATTGTGAAGAAAGGGACAGGTCATTGAAAAATATTGAGGTCATAAAAACAGTGAGGTTGTAGCAAAGATAAGATTTACATCAAAAATGAGTGTGCGATAGGTACAACACAATTAACAGTGGAGAAACTGCAACAAGGATGAGAGAATATTATATTCAGTCTTCAAGTAATTCCACACTAGTGTTGTTTTTTTGATATTCTTTTATTGTGTTTTGTTTTTGATATTCTTTTATTGAAGTGTCATCGATACACATTACTGAATTGGTTTCACATATACAACATAGAGATTCAACAGTTATATCCACGGTTAATTCCTTACCCAGCTAGAGTAGTTGCCATCTGTCAACACAGAAAGATGTTACAGAGCTATAGGCTATATACTCTATGCTGCATTTTCATCCCTGTGGTTAATTTATATGATGGCTGAGATTTTGTGCCTCTTTATACCCTTCACCTGTTTTACCCCCACACTAGTCTTTGTATGGGATGCGCAAAAGGAGATTGTGATTATTTTAAGAGTTGAGATGCTGGTCCACAAAAGGGAATTTAAAAAAATTTTTAACTGGGAGTAATGGTGGTGTTGTTTTGTTTTCTTCTAAGGTGAAGCTAAACTGCCCTCTACTCGCGCCCCGGTCAGTCTCACCCTGGGCAGCCTCCTGGACGATCAACACTGGCATTCTGTGCTCCTCCAGCGCCTGGGCAGGCAGGTCAACTTCACAGTGGATGAGCATAGGCACCATTTCCATGCCCAGGGCGAGTTCCGTTACCCGGATCTTGACTATGAGGTGTGATGGTTACATTTCATTTAATACAGGCCTATCTTGTTTTCTCATGCTTTGCTTTATTGCACTTTGCAGATACTGGTTTATTTTTACAAACTGAACGTTTGTGGCACCTCTGCATGGAACAGGTCTATTGGCTCCATTTTTTTCCAATAGCATTTGCTCACTTTGTATCTCCGTGTTACACTTCGGTAATTCTCACAGTATTTCAAGCTTTTTTATTGTTACCATGTTTGTTATGGTGATCTGTGATCAGTGATAACAATTAGCTGAAAGCTAGGGTGCTGGTTAGCATTTTTTACCAATGAAGTATTTTTTAATTAAGGTATGTACATAGTTGTTAAGGATATAATGCCGTTGCACATTTAAAGGACTAGAGTATAGTATAAACATAACTTTTCAATACACTGGAAGACCAAAAAATTCATCTGATTTGCTTTATTGAGATACTCACTTTATTGCAGTGGTCTGGAATGGAACCCACAATATCTCCCAGGTATGCTTGCACAGATTCTGTGATGTCTACGTGGTGTAGCCATGCAAAAGAAGATATGCTGCAGAAAACCTACCCTGTGGTTCTAGAGTAAATCAAATTCCTGGTGAAGTGTTTCCCAAAGTGATCTCACTCACAATAAGCGATTTAGTCATATACTAGTGAAGCTTCTTCGTTTTTCTGGCAATATTTTAATTTGTTATTATAGAGAGAGGTCATCATCTTTTTTTTTTTTACCTGCAATGTGTAGTCCTAGATCATCTCATGTAGGAAATCTCCAAGAAGAGGTCTCATTACCAGAAGTAAATATGGAATGTGTTACTTGGTTTTTCTGAGCCATGGGGTACCCTTGAACAGTGTAGATATATGGAGAGGATATAGGTATGAGTAGATTAATGAGTTCATTAACAGTTGATTCAAATGTACAAATACGGTGTGTGCCAGAAATGTATATAAAATAGAACGCTATTACAATTGGTTGTATTATTAAACAGATTTACCATGGATATGAGGATGGATTTTTATTCATCAACCAATAAGTATCAAATCCAGGTGTGATTAAGAACTTGTAAGGATAAAGCTTTCATGTAAATGAAAACTGAATGCATATAAATGTGTTTTAAAATCTGCATCTTAATTTTTAAAAAATTTCCATATAAATTAATAATACAGCAGTGTGGGTTGATGAACAATCGATCTCTCTGTGATGATTACAGCTATAGTTGCTATCATTTTAATGATTAGAAGTTACTTAAGCAGATTATCAGAAAATCACTAAACAATATTATTGATGCCATTTTTCTTTCTAAGATCAGCTTTGGAGGGATTCCAGCACATGGAAAACCAATGTCATTTCCCCATAAAAATTTTCATGGGTGTTTAGAAAATCTCTATTATAATGGAGTGGATATCATTGATTTGGCCAAGCAACAGAGTCCACAGATCACTGCTATGGTAAGACAGACTTCATGTGAATGAATGAGTAAAGCTACGTGGCCTTCCATAGAACAAAGTTGCTCCATTTTAGAATCCCATATGCTAAGGTGTTCTAGAGATTACTCTTACTCTTTAAAACTTTTTCTCTGTTTGGCAATATACACATAAGGGATTAGTTCTATCTCAAGGAACTAAAAATCATAGGGCATGATTATTTTCATAAAAAGTAAAGCAGTCTTTTTTTTTTTTGAGAGGGCATCTCTCATATTTATTGATCAAATGGTTGTTAACAACAATAAAATTCTGTATAGGGGGGTCAATGCTCAATGCACAATCATTAGTCCATCTCAAGCCTAATTCTCGTCAGTCTCCAATCTTCTGAAGCATAACGAACAAGTTCTTACATGGTGAACGAATTCTTACATAGTGAATAAGTTCTTACATGGTGAACAGTGCAAGGGCAGTCATCACAGAAACTTTCGGTTTTGATCA